CTAATACCATCACCTTGGGTATCGATTGGGGGTTGGGGATACATACATTTAGATCATATCAAGTCTCTTCCTGGTATATATTAATAGTTTGAAGCAGGAGAGGAGCTAAAATGGGTAATTTGGGTCATTAGAAAAATCTTCACAGTATTGTTTAATCAGAACACTTTAGTAGATTTTGCTTTTGGCCACCTAGCATCAGAATAAGAGGTGGAGGGCTGAGGGAGAATCCTAACATAAATGGGAGGCAGTGTCATGCAATCTTTTCCCCTGAAAGCTAGGGAATTTGCAAATGCTCTCCCTAAGTGCTTTGAATCTTGAGGAAGTGACACAAAAATGGAGGCTCCTGAGATCGTTTATAGCAGTGAAGGGATACAGAGTGCAGAGCTCAGAGATGAATGACAAGGGGTGGGGTCCTCTGCAGATTATACCTGGAGCAACATCTTGGCTCTTCTCCTGGACCATGTTCTTTGGTTCTGCGGTAAGCTTAAAAGAAACTCCTGCCTGCATTGGTCAGGGACAGTTTCTGCTGCCTGCAACCAAGAATTCCAACTAGCACCAACACTGTACCTGCTATATCTATATTTTCCACTAAAAATAAATTCATTGCAAACATTATTTATCAACTGAAAATCTTACAAACTTTTGACAAAACAGAAAACATTATAACCCCATCACCCAGAGTAGCTTTGTAAAAACAAAACAAAACAAATCTTAAAGTATTTCCTGATGCATACTCTCCAGACTTTTCCTGGGCATATGAATATATTTTTTTCTTTCTCTAACTACCACCCTGTGATCAACATGCTTGTTATTTGCCTGCTATTCTGCCTCATCCTACAGCATTGCTTCTCCACAGGAACTTGAACACAGACATGTTCATGAGTTTTGGTCCAGCCTAGTGAAAAATACTTGTCAGTTACTCAAGTTGTCTTTGAATAAATATATGTAGAAGTGATATAATTCTTATACACAGAAGGCACAGAAAATGATGTCAGGTAAATTCTTGGGACTAAAAGCAATCCAGCAGAGTAATACGTGTATGTGTTACTCTGTTGGGTAAGAGTCCTTAAACATCTAACATGGCTATCTCATTTGGTCCTGTACAAATGAATGCATAATTTTTACATTCAAGTTGCTAGATTTCAGAATTTCCAGAGAAAGTTTAGGGTATAGGTATATTGTCTGGAGGACCTACTATTTTAACTAGAAATATATTTAAAAGTCACTAATTTCTTAGAATGCATTAGATTGATCTCTAATTCAAGAAGAGGTGTAGTTCATATTTAAAAGTACATAATTACTTCTAGCTACAAATAAGAACTATTTCCAAGTACATAATTTGAGAGGACAATTTTACCACCCATGCTTAAAATTACAAACACTATTTGCAAATAGTAAATATAGTAAAAATTCTTAGAAAGTCTGTTCTCTATTTCATCTTAATAGACTTTAATACCATTTTCTATAAAGAGGTAAACTTCAACCCCAGATGGATGGAAATAAATTTGCAGATTCTAAGTGAATTGCATTTCTATTTTTTCAACATAGATTGCCTTTAGTCAGTCTTGTTCCATGATCCCTCATTCCATTATTTACTTTTAAAATATGTACTGTTCTCCTTTACAGCCTTATTTTAATACTAAAAATAAGAGCTTATGGCTCTGGTTTTCTTCCTGGTGAATGGTAAATAAACTTTCCTTTTATTGCTACCCCCAAGTTTTCTTATTTTTAAAAAATATATTTTATTGATTTTTGTACAGAGAGGAAGAGAGAAGGATAGAGAGTTAGAAACACCAATGAGAATCATCCATCAGTTGCCTCTTGCACATCCCCCACTGGGGCTGTGCCCGCAACCAAGGTACATGCCCTTGACTGGAATAGAACCCGGGACCTTTCAGTCCGCAGACCGACGCTCTACCGCTGAGCCAAACCGGTTTCGGCCCCCCCAAATTTTCTTTATTAAATATATGTAAGACATAGATTCATAGAATTTCTAGTGATTTCCAACCAAGTGCACAGGTAATCCCCACCCCCTTTTCTTTCTTTTTGTTGTTGTTAATCTTCAGTAGAAGATATTTTCCCATTGAATTTCAGAGAATGGAAGGGAGGGGGAGAGAGAGAAACATCATGTGAGAGAGGTACATCCATTGGTTGCCTTCTGCACATATCCCTGCAGACCTCCCACCCATACCTCCAATTGAGCCTATAACTAAGGCATGTATCCCTGACTGAAATCGAACCCAGGATGCTTCAATCTGCAGGCGGATACTCTATCCACTGAGCCAAACCGGCTAGGGCAGTTGTTTTTCCCTTTTCAAAATGAATCATCTTTAAGATACTTTTAATATTTTTAGTAGTAATTTTAAAATCCTCTGACTATTTTTATTTAACAGTGCTTTTTCTCTATGACCTGCCCATTGATAAGGTAACTATTCAATAATTCTAAAGTAAAATAATCTAATACTTTATTAAGCAAACAATAAGTAACTTTTTAGATCCTGGGCCTCTACATTCCTTCGCTACTCAAATCAAAATGCAGTAGTCGTCTCACGTTTGTTACCATGAATTTCAAAAGAATAATCTACATTCTAAAAACATTTTTATACAGGACAAAGAGAACATAATTAAGCTGGAGTCTTTCCATATCATTGACTTTTGGGATCCAGGCAGCAGAACCATGATGTAGGTGAAAAAGTATCATGGCCAGGTTCCAGGGTATGTGACTCAAACTGAAGAACAAAATGTTGACCTGTGAATACATCAGCTCAGCTCATGAAAAGGATACTAGCTAGAGGGTCTCCATTTTTAGAGACCAAATAAGGACAAATGAGCTAAAATAGCAGCAGAATCAACATAGGTTATTTATAAAATACTTTCTAACAAGTATCAAGAGGTTAAGGATATGCATTGCTCATACCTCCTAGAGCAGTGGTAGGTAAACTCATTAGTCAACAGAACCAAATGTCAACAGTACAACGATTGAAATTTCTTTTGAGAGCCATATTTTTTACACTTAAACTTCTTCTAATGCCACTTCTTCAAAATAGACTCACCCAGGCCGTGGTATTTGGTGGAAGAGCCACACTCAAGGGACCAAAGAGCCGCATGGGCTCGTGAACTGCAGTTTGCTGACCACGGTCCTAGAGAATGAGATAGGCTGCTCATTTGTTTGGGATGGTTCTTAATGGGAAAAATTCTAGAAGACAGGATGGTATCTTTCTGAACTTCAAGTCCATCTTTTCCCGTAGGGGCTCACACCTTTGAATTGTAGCTCATTTATTACTCTCAGCGTGAATCAAATCCAGTTCCAGACTCTCCATCTTAACCTAACTCCCACTGCAGAATCATCTCAACAGTTAGGAACTCTTCGTGCTCTCACTCCGTATCAAAATGTAGCTAAGCCCTGGGGCAGGTGTGGCTCAGTGGATAGAGCGTCAGCCTGCAGACTGAAGGGTCCCGAGTTCAATTCTAGTCAAGGTCCGGGTCCTTGTTGGTGGCATGCGGGAGGCAACAAATCGATGTGTCTCTCTCACATCAGTGTTTCTGTCTGTTACCCCCGGTCCCTTCCACTCTCTCTAAAATATCAATGGAAAAAATATCCTTGGGTAATGATTAAAAAACAACAAATGTAGCCAAGATTTCTTCATGGGGGCTTCTTACTATATTTTATGATGTCTGATGTGTGACATGCAGAGCCATTTAGAGCAATGACTTATGACTTTAGCATGCAATTGAATGTAATTTAAGAAATAACTCTGTAAAATAAGGACTATGAGAGCAGGGTTTTTGTTTTTATGTTGGTCAAGTACTTTGGAGCAAATGGCTGAGTGTTAGCTGAGCTATATTCCTATTTCCTTTTGATAAAAAAAAAATCAAAATCATTAAAAGTTCCTTTAAAACAAACTACAAATATATCTATTTATAAAAATGAGAGGAATCTTTTCTTTCAGAGTATGTTGGAAAAATGTGATGTTAAGTATTCAATTGGTTATATAGCTAATCAATATCTAATGATTGACAGCAGGCCAAGCCTTCTTTCTGTTTTCTAACACCAAAACAAAAGCTGTTATAAAAATGTATAAGGGCTGGGACAGGTTTGGCTCAATGGATAGGGCGTCAGCTTGGGGACTGAAGGGTCCAGGGTTCGATTCCGGTCAAGGGCATGTACCTTGGTTGCGGGCATATCCCCAGTAGGGGGTGTGCAAGAGGTAACTGATCGATGACTCTCTCTCATCGATGTTTCTAACTCTATCTCTCTCCCTTCCTCTCTGTACAAAATCAATAAAACATATTTTTTAAAAAATGGATAAGGGTAAGGTGTTTTTAAAAATAACTGTTAAATTTAGCCCTTGCCGGTGGATAAAGCAAAGGCCTGCATACTGAAGGGTCCCAGGTTTGATTCTGGTCAAGGGCACATGCCAGGGTTGCGGGCTCAATCCCCAGTAGGAGGCATACAGAATGGCAGCCAATCAGTGATTCTCTTTCATCATTGATGTTTCTCTCTCTCCCTCTCCTTTCCTCTTTGATACCAATAAAAATATATTTTTAAAAATAACTGTTAAATTTAATATTTTGCCTTAGTGATAAAGCCTTTTTTTTTCTTTCCAATCCTAATTTTCATTTGTATCTGTCTACTTTCTTTAATGGGGGTTTGAGCTTCCACACTATCCTCTAGTTTTTGTACGATAAAGTAAGCTATTTACTTTTTAGCAGAGCTGGAGGAGAGGAACATCTCTGCATTTGATTGGTTGGCTTGTAAGGGATTACTCACTCCTCTGGAAAGGCACTGTCCCATATCACATTGCTAAAAATGTGGACTTAATTGGGGTTAAATATTTAAATTGAAGCATTTAGCATCAAGAGAACATAAGCTTCAGGACCCCTATGTTACTTAGATTCTACACATCATATTGACTTAATGTGCTTCTGATGAAGAGCTGTTTTTAATCAACCTTAAATACCATACCCCAAAGAACTGACTGGCATACAGATAAATTTGAGGTTCTAGTACATTTTATAACAAAGCCAGTACAACTTTAAAAAGAATAAATTCAAAATAACAAATTGACTTCAATAAGATTAGCAACACTGAGGAAGACGTATGTCAGCTAAGTCAAGTCAAATAAACTACTCTATACTATTTATTCCCATAATAAACAATGACTTTTAATTTTTTATTCCTCATTTCCAAGCTACTCAAAGAACACGATCACTTTTCAAATTTCACTTATTTTATCTTAAAGAATTTACTGAGCAAAATGCTTAGTCGCAGGATTTTATAATACTTTTGTAACCCATCAGGTTACAATATTAAAGTTACTACAAGTTTCTTCCCCAGAGCAGGCATTCTGTATGTGTTTTATTTACATTCTGTCACTTTTTATTTCCTCCTAAACTTTATATGCCCACGAATGAAACTGTATTGGTGTTATGTAACAACATTTCAAATTTGCAACATACATACTGATTTATCTGTCCCTTGAACCCACTTCCCTGAAAAAGAAACACATGTATCCAAACAGAAAAAAACTTCCTTACAGTGAGAGAGTCTAGCCATGTAGAAATAAAAGCATTTAAAAACAGTTGTATGGAAGGGTCAAGATGTATCTTTCCCTGTTTATAATAACCCCCATGATTTATGAACAACCACAGGCAGCCAAGATCTTGGGCCTGCACATAGAGGTTGGTAACACAGCAGGAATTAGGGTTTTAAGGTCTCTTACGATTGTGATTCGAAAAACCCAAAGCAAACAAACCGAAAGGTCTGATAAAAGGCCTGATAAAGTGCTCCAAATAGAGCCTTTGGCAACCCAAGTTGAACCATATGACCCAGGTGGACGATTAGACTAAACTGTGCGCCGTTTTCTTTCCTTGGGTCTATAAAGCCCATAAGTTATGTTTGGTCCAGGAAAGCAGAAGTCGTTAGCACCTTCCTTTCCCACCTTTTAATATCCTATACGTACACAATTCTTAAGCCTTGGTCTTCATTCATTGACTAAACAAGATCCTGGGCGCCTTTTTGGTGATCACGCCTCCCAAACTGACCTTATATGACAGCAATTTGAAATGCCCCTCCGTGGCAAGGGCCGAGACCACGAGGTTAGTCATCCAAAGGTGGACGCGACTTGCTTTTATTTACTTAATTACTCGAGGGGCGGCGATGGCCGCGGCGGCTGGACTAGGACGAGGGTGGAGAAGGGGCACGCGGGCTGTGAGCCGGGGATGCGAGCCCTCGGATAAGGGGGGCGGCTGCCAAGTCCCACCAGCTCCGCCCGCCGGACCCAAAAAATGATCAGCCTCCCCCCCCCCCAACACACCTTTTGCTGCACCCTTGATCCCCCCCTCTTCCCAGGCCTTTTATCCTTCCGCCTGCCCAGCAGCCCGCGACTCCCAAACCTCGCGCCAACAGCCTTCTTCCGCAACCCCCTGGGGTGGCGCGCGGGCCGAGGGCGGCCCAGCGAGGCCCGGCCCTGCAGGGACCCCTGTCCGACCCCTCCGGCCGCGCCCCTCCCCCGGGTATAACGCACCTGCGGCCCCGCCCCCGGCCAAACACCGAGGCGGCGGCGGGCTGGCGAGGCCGGGCGGCTTGGCTCTCGAGGTAGTCACCTTCCCTTCCCCCGCCATCCATCCCATCCCCCTCGTTCAGCCACGGAGCAGCGGCCGCGCTCCTCTGCCGCCCAGAAATCTAAAGGGGTCCGTCTCCGGCACCACAACCAAATGGCTGAGCCGCCCTGGCCGGCTGCGCAGCCCGCCCATTGGTCCCTTCCCCCGCCGCCGCTGCCGCCACTGGCTGCTGCCCGGAGATCCTCGGCGGCGATTGGCTGAAGCTCCTGCCGCTCATTCTCGAGGCCGCAAATCCCGCCTCTACAGCGATCGGGTTTGTGTGCGCCGCGGGTGCTGGGGGCTCGAGAACCGAGCGGAGCTGGTTGAGCCTTCAAAGTCCTAAAACGCGCGGCCGTGGGTTCGGGGTTTATTGATTGAATTCCGCCGGCGCGGGAGCCTCTGCAGAGAGAGAGCACGAGAGATGGAGATGGACAAACGGATTCATTTAGAGCTGCGGAACAGGACGCCCTCTGATGTGAGCATTTGCCAAAAATATCTCTGTCGGTCCATTCTCCTACTTTGTGTATGTGTGTGTGTGTGTGCGCGCGTTGGGGGTGGTGGTGGGGGGTGAGGCACTTTTATTGAGGGGGGGAGCCCGGGATGTGTGGGTTTGGGGGGGTCAGGCTGCAAATGAATTGCAAGGTTGGGGGGTTGCAATACCATCAGAGCATGTTCCGGCTGCCGCCGCCGCCGCCGCTGCCCTTGGTGTGTGACTACCTGTGCGTGTGCTCCCGCGTGTGCGAGTGTGGGTGCGAGAGTGTGCGTGCGAGTGTGTGCACCCAGCGGGGGCCGGCGGGCGCACGCGTTTGGGTCGGAGAAGATGAGGCAAAATGACCCTCTAGCTCGTTGCTCCCATGACTCCGTCTGGGGGAAAAAAGATTAACGACGGGGGAGGAGGAGAGGGTCTGCCTCCTGGATTTAACAACAAAAAGGGGGGTTTATTATTTTATAAATGAAAACCCCCGTCCACCACCCCCCCTCCCGCACCTCACCCCTCCCTTTCGCCCTCGCTCACGCACACACAATAAGTTTTGGGCTTCGCGAGTCCGGTCTAGTTTCTGGTAAACGTGGACCGAGGCCCCCGGGGAGGGCGCGTGGGGAGGGGGCTGCCGCGGAGTTGGGAACGGCTCGAGTTTAAAGTGCGTCTTGGTTTCCTTGCAGTGATGAGGCGAGAGACGGGGGAGCCATATTTGTAACTTTGTAGTGTTCGTGAACGCGCCCTTTCTCTCCCTCCCTCCCTTTCTCTGCCTCTTCCTCTTCTCTTTCTCCCTCACTCTTTCCACCCCACCTTCGGGCCAGATGCTGATGTTTCTTCCCTTCGGAGGGGAGGATAAATGGGAAGGAGAGGGGGAGGGATTTTCGAACGTGCAAAGGCACCGATCATCCCCGCGCCTCCCCACACCGAGCGATCGCTGTGGCAAGTTACCCAAAGGCTGCGTCCCGGTCCCCGCTCGCCCCTGCGCCTTCCGGATGCCAGCCTCCGACCCCTGGCGACCCCCGGCCGGCCCTGCTCTGGAGGGGGTTCCTCAGCAGCCATTCGGTGCCCGGCTAATAAATAAACGGGCACGGGAAACTTTGTCCGGACTCGAGCTGCCTGCCCGGAACCGGTGCCCGCGGCGGGTATCGGCTGGGTCCAGATGGATGCGGGCAGAGCGAACACGCAGCCCCGGGATGGGAGCTCGCCTTCCCGTCGCCGCTATGGACCGGGCAGCGGCGGGAGCGGGGCTGAAGGGAACTTACACGGCCGGGAGCTGGCAGCCTGAGCGAAAGCTCACCCCCGAGAAGTGCGAGGCAGGGGCTGGTTACTCGAACGCTCGTTTTTTGGTTTTGTTTTTGTTTTGCTTTTCCTGGCTCCCTCTCGCTTTCAAACACTGTTTTATGCGAGTTGGCGGCTCCTCGGCGGAGGAGAACCGGGTCTGAGCCGAGCCGCCGGCGGACTCTTTCGCGGCCTTTGGCGCGGGGACCGGCAGAGCGCGGTGGCCGGGGAGGGTTCCGGAGTTGGCGGAGCACCGTGTGCTGACCGGTCGCCCCTCCAGCTGATTAACACCCGGACCCCTGGCGAAGACAGGCCTGGCTGGCTTCCTCTTTGCTCTAGTTCCTCTCCCAAACCTGAGTGAGACTTTTGAAAACAAGATCCTTTTTGTGCCTCCACCCCCCCCCCCCCCCATCACATCCTAACGCAGCTGTGGCGTGTGGACGTGCGGAGCCTGATGGCGCGCAGGGCGGGGAGGGGTGCCCGGGGAGAAGGCAGGAGTTGCCTTTCTCCGGTCGGTTCCTTCCCTGCTGGAACCCCAAAACCCCAGCCGGAGGGTTTGGGGGGGTCTGGGTGTGGTGATGGGGGAGGGGGCCGCGCCGCGGGCTTCCCGCGTACTTTCCGGAAGCCCCCCGCGCGGAGGGGGCAGGGCGCCGGGCAGGGGGCCGGGGTCTGCGCGGGTGGCTGCGGGTGGGTACGCGGGTCACCGGGCCCTCCCCGTCCCCTCCGCCCGGCACCGGGGAGCGAGCCCGAGAGCGGGTCGAACCGGCTCTTTAAACTTCCGAGTGTGTGTGCGGGGGGAGGGGGCGCCGGGCGGGGAGCGGTTCTCACGCTGCGCCCCCTCGCCGCCCCGCTCCCTGCCCACGCGCCGGCCCGAGGCCGGGTGGGGCCCGGGGAGCGGAGGGGGCACTCTCTGCGCGTTCGGGGAGGAGGGGAGGACGCTCGCTAATGAGGGACAAAAGAGGTGGGGGAGGAGGGGCTGTTTTTTTTTTTAACGTTCTTAAGACGAATAGCTTCCGGAGAGCGCCCTCTGCGCCCCTGCCCGTCGCGCCCCCCGCCCCCCGGGGCCCCCACACACCCACCTGGCGAGCCTCTCCCAACTCCGCTCCGGGGCCGCGGCCGCGGCCGCCGCGCCGCGCCGCTGGAACTGGACGAGCAGCCATGTTTCCCGGCGCCCGGCCCGCCCCGCCCCTCCCCCTCCGCGGCCGGCGGGGCCCCCATGCGGCGCCCGGCTCCCCGCGGCCCCGGCGGAGGGCGCGGGCCGGTGCTGGCCGGCCGGGGCGCGGGCGCCTGGGCTGGGTCCCCGGGGCCGGCCGTGGGGCGTCCGGAGCTGGTTCGGAGCTCGAGGTGTTTTATTATTTTTTTTAACAGCCAGACCCGCCCGAGGCCGAGCCCCCAAGGGCGCCGAGGCATTATTGGGGGGCAGGGGCGGCCGCCAGGGCCCCGCTCGCTCGTGGCACGACCGCCGGGCTGCCATTTTGTCACCGCGGCTGCTGTCGCTGCGGGCGGGGGGAGAGGGGGGCGGGAGGCAGAGCCTTGCGCCATCACCCCGACGGGCCTGGACGTGGAGGCAGCTGGGGGAGGCGGCCCCAGCACCCTCAGAGGCGCTAGGGGGCCCGATGGGTGTGCCCTCCCGCGCCACCGGCCTGGGGCTCTGCTGGGGCGTTGCAATCGCTAGATCCTTCTCGTGCTCCCCCCCTTCCCGGTCCCCCATGGCGCTCCTCCACCACCCCCTCTCCAGCGTTTTGCCCTTCCTCCTGCAAAATACCACGTTTTAGACGTAGCCAAACGTGGTCCTGAGGACGAACCTATCACCTGGTGTTTGTTTTTTCCTCAGAATCGATAGGAGGGGGCGGGGGCAGAGATTGAACCGGGGGCTTCTTTTTGGGGAGGAGATGCGCACACCGCTCTGGCGCCCCGCCTGCAGCCAGGACCGCGGCCGCCTCCTCGGGAGGGACGGCGCGGGGGAGACGCCCCGGAGGCTGGGCGCTCCGGGGAAGGTAGGTCTCGCCCCGGGTGTCAGGTGGGTGCTGCAGCGCCCTGCAGGTTGATAGGGGAGCCTCCCTCACCCCCTTCTCTGCCCTGCCCTCCTCTTATTTCCTACCCAGGGGAAGGCAGCCGCAGGACTCAGTGTAACCGCAAACGGATAAAAGAAGGGAATGAGGTTTGGTTTTTAAAAAGTGACGGCTTTCTTGCCGACTCTCCTTCTCTGGCCGTTGACTGCAGAGCCAGACAAGGTGTCCTGTAGGTGGCATCTCTCTGGGACTTTTTAAAGCCGGTAGGATGCTGATTGAACACCTCTGTGGTGTCTGCACAGAGACTAGCTTTCATGGCGGTGCCCAGCAAAGGCTGCCCAGGAAGCCAGGTTTAACTTCGACCTTTGGCATGATGTTTTCCAGCCTGACTTACTGCCTAATTGGGTTCAAGCAGGCCGGTGTTAATTCCAGTTTATGCAAGCCAGCGCGGGATCCACAGGCAGAAAAAATTGGGCATTGAGCTCGGGGTAGTCATGGTTAGTTACATTTTGCTACCCAATTGCTGCTGGTGGTGGTAATTGTAGGTTTGGGGGCTGGGTCCACAGTAAATCTGGAACCACACAGGTCTGAGTTTGAATTCCCCCGTCCCAGAAGAGGGAGGTAAGTTAACCTGCCCCTGTGAGCTCAGGCAGGTCAACCTAACCTACCTTTTTGAACTTTGGTTTCCTTATCTGGAAAACGGAAGTAATAACCCTAGTTAGTAAGTGACAAAACTGGCTGGATCTGGCCCTCGGGTATTCAGTCTGTGATAGCATTGTTGTCTGAGAGATACGGGATGCAGTGGGGCACAACTCTGAACTCCTCTTAAGATCAGAATAACAAGAATAGCTAATGCTTTACGTTGTGCCCATGCCGTGCCTGGCACAGTTCTTAGTGGATTGTGACTATCAGTTAATTTAGCGCTATGAGGTAGAAGATACTCTTCTTATTCTTGTGTTACGCATGAGGAAATTGAACACAGGCTATCATAACCAGTCTGTCCTCAATCTCCACTCGGTTGCCTCTCCGGAAGCACCCTTTTTTGTAAAATACCTTAAGGAAGAGCTTTTTTGTTTCTCTGGCTTTCAAACTTACCTTAATGGCAAGCGAGTTTCCTGTGTTGAAGGTACGAAGACTTGGGGGGCCTCTCGATTGAAGATTGGGAGAGTTGGTCAGGACCTTTTTTTTTTTTTTTTAATATATATATATTCTACTGATACTTTACAGAGAGGAAGGGAGAGAGATAGAGAGCTAGAAACGTCGATGAGAGAAACATCGACCAGCTGCCTCTTGCACACCCGCTATCGGGAATGTTCCCGCAACCAAGGTACATGCCCTTGACCGGAATCGAACCCGGGACCTTTCAGTCCGCAGACCGACGCTCTACCGCTGAGCTAAACCGGTTTCGGCCGTGGGCTATCATCTTAAAGGGATAGCCATACGCTTTGAGTTTGTCTTAGCATGCCACCTCTGGTTAGACTTGAAGCAAATCTGGCCTTTTAGGTATTGGGAGGCGCACTTGGGGTAATGAAAAGACAAGCAGGAGCCACTGTTAGGCACTGATTTCTATGGGATCTTGTATGTAATGCATTTTCATTACTCTCCATCTATAGCCAAAAACTGGACAGAATTGGCATGTCCTTGGTATTTAGGACTAATATGCTAATAATACCACATGGATCATTTCAGTCCTCTCAACAACTTCTTCAGGGTAGACCAAGAATTGTGACACCCTGTTCTCCCTGTTGTGAAAGTGTCTCACTGAGGATGGGAGAGGGTGGGACAGTCAGACAGCAGGTGAGGGGCAGAGTTTGGTTCTCCTCTTGCTGTAAAATCAAAGGTGGACAGTAAGGACTTTGCAAATTATAGTCTGTTGGGTCCCAAACATGGTCCATCACCAGAATCATGTGAGCAACCTGTTTTTGTACAGCCCATGAGCTAAGAATAATTGTCCATACAAACATTACACACAATTTGATGATATGGAACATTTAACTTTGAATCCCAATTAAATGTTATTTCCCCCACACACAAAAAAGAATTCTGTGTTAGACCTTTATTACAAAAATTATACTTATATATTTTTAATTTAATCAATAAAGGAATTGTGTGGCCCTGGTTGGTTGCTCAATGGTTAGAGCATCGGGTTATGGGTTCGATTTTGAATCTAGGTCAGTCCAGGTGTGCACGGAGGCAACCAGTCGATGTGTCTCACTTTCTCCCCATCCTCCTCCTTTTCTACTCTCTTTAAAAAATCAATGGAAAAAAGTATCCTCCTGTGAGGATTTATTTATTTATATTTTAATATATTTTTATTGATTTCAGAGAGGAAGGGAGAGAGAGAGAGAAACATCAATGATGAGAGAGAATCATTGATCAGCTGCCTATTGCAGGTCCCCTACTGGGGATGGAGCCCACAACCTGGGCATGTGCCTTTGACAGGAATTGTACCTTGGACCCTTTAGTCCGCAGGCTGGTGCTCTATCCACTGGGCAAGACCAGCCAGAGCTTCATGTGAGGAATTTAAAAACAAACAAACACAAACTAATAAAAAAAACACACAAGAAAACTTCTTTTCTCTCACAATAAAGTGCCTGTGTCGTACTGTCAGTTTTGCCTTTAGGTAAAGTTTACTATCTGGTTCTTTACAAAAAAAGTTTGGTAAGCTCTGGCTTGTAGAGTAGGAGGAGGGACCCTGAGATCTGGGGTTTTTTAATTTAAAAAAAAAAATTAAGTTTGTGGCAAGCCATTCGTTTGGTTGGTGCTTTGGGGGCTCTCCAAATCCTTGTGTGTGTGCCCTTTAACTAGTTGGCACCTAGTGGAAATCAGTCTCAGTTCAAGAGCCTGCATTAGAAGAGAAATTCTCCTTGTTGCCCGTTTAAAATTGAACACCACTTCTATCCAGAGGTTCTGTGTAACCAGCTAAAATTTATTATCTTGCATATTCAGAATGTTTCGGAAGTAGTTACATGGTTACTTTTTAGATGTCTTCTCAGAGCTAGAGGGTAGGAGCTTTGAACTGCAACGGTTTGAGCTTTGAGGCCTGGTAAGGTGCCACAGCTGTGCACCCAGTGGCTGACATCAGCCCCTCAGAGCACAGACGATTGCAGACCACAGACAACCTTGGAAGCTCTGGTTTGGGCTGGGCATGCTGCTCTTACTCCATGCATGGGCCCTGGAGAACCAACCAGCAGGAACGTGGCTTTGAGCTTCAAGCCCTTCTTTCTACCTCTAGCCTCTTGTGCCTGAGCCACTGAACGGAGGGAATGAATGTGAAGTTGGCCAGGCCTGGGGAAGGAGATGCTAAATCCAAGGGAACGAGGAGAGCAGACCACAGGCTCAGTTTTCTGCCTTCGCTGCTGCTGCATCACCAGCCTCTCGAGTGACTTACTCTGAGACTCACACAACCTTATAGGAAACACAGGCACCCGGTTGAGCTTTGAGAGCTGGTCGTCCCAGAGGTTAGGTCCAAATCAGTTATAGCACATTGACAAAGAAAACTCGGGGCTTTTGGTGATCCGTTATGGAGAGAGTGTAGGATTCTCCTCAGCTGTCTCCTGTCCACTGTGCCTGCCCTCTCTACCTTGGTGCAGTCACTTCAGAAAGGAGATCTTGCTGCCGAGTGCTGGCCAGCCCTGGTAGAACTTGGCCCAGTTCTTTGGCCTGAATTCTGCCTGGGTAAAGGGGAGACTCATTACACTGGTGCCCAGAGGGGGCGCTCCCTCACAGGTGCTTGCTGCCATGCCCTCCTCTCCCCCCACTGTGACCTGCCCACACCCTGCTGTGGTTAGTTCTCTGTCTCCTATCAAGTACCCCTCACAGGTCCCTGCCACCGCTGCCGTCCTGCCACAAGTAAAGAAATGTGCACCTGACTCTGAATCTTAACATTACACTGAAAATGTCATTTTACAACAAATGATAAATGCCCAACAATGATGCTCCCATTAAAGAGATGGAGTCTGGCAGGGATGGTGAATTTCAAAGGCATCTGTCGTTCAGAACTTCTCATTTAATAAAATTTGTCGAAAAAAGATGCACAAAGCATCCAGGGCCACCTGCCTAGACATGGAAGCACCCTCCTTGAATAGAACTAGTTGTCTGGTGAGATTGGTTAACACAAAGTCTGCAAACAAGGTAAAACCTCTTTGCTCTACCACACCAGCCCCTGTCCTGTGCCTCCTGCGCCACACCGTGCCACCCCCTGGTTTTCACTCACATTTGTTTTGTTTTGGCTCTACCGCTGCCCTGATACCCTTGTCTGTCTTCTCCTTTACCCAAACTTGCTCCGGGCAGCAGATCTAAAAGATCAGCTTACTTACTATCTTTTATTCTTCATGTGGATTAAAGTCAGGCTCTCTCCCAGAGTTATCTGCACCTGGAGATTCCAGTTTGGTGAGGAAATTACCAGAGAACCATTAGAAACTTGAATGCTGTTCTCAGCTTCGCTGTTAACTAACTCGGGCATGTTGCTCCGGGCCTCTATCTTCTTCGCTCTTAATTAGATTAGTGTCTTTCAAACTTTTTGATCCTAACAGTGAGAAATGTTTTACAGCACTGCCCAGTGTGTAGATACATATATTGTCATTTGAAAAACTGACAGTGAGCTCCCTTACTGCATGTAAAACACTTCTTTATTCATTGAAACAAGTGTGCTGACTTTGACCCATAAATTGGTTTCATTAGTTGTTCGTGTTTGAAAGACATTTAAAATATGAACATTAAGGTTCCTTCACACTCAGATATCTTGTGGTTTGAGTTGGGAGAATGAGGGAATGCCGTTTGTAGCATTGCAAAGTCTGTTCCTGGGAGTCAGTGGT